GGAACTAGTGCAGCCCACATAGGACACACACCACTAGAATTGGTACAGCCGATGATGCTTGTTTGCTTTTCAGTTACGGAAAGACACAAACTACTGCAGTGTATGTCGGTCGATGATCACTAGCCAGTGCACAGATGACACAAGAAGTAAACTCAGCGTTTTGCTTGGTTTCGTATAAACACGATGATATTCATTACATTTCGGATATATTTTAACTAAAAGCGGAGCTTGTCCGACTCTAGAGATATAAATTCGGACATACTTCTATTTTAAACCTAAACTAACTGATCGCCGGCGTCTGTTCCCCATGTTCGGCCATGAGGCCCGAGAACTAAAGCTTCGCCTTCCCACATCCGCCTCGGCGCTCTCTAACTCCGCCTCCGTAACGTCCATCTCCGGAGCCCCGGGAAGCGAAGCTGTCAGCCTTCATGTCACCGACAAGCGGCTAATCAGCCGATGATTTTCAACCCACCAGGCCTGGCTTTAACGGTAGGGGCAGGACTGGTGGCCTACTTGAGACCCGAGCAGCGGCGACCTTCCACGCACTACTCTTTCTCGTTCTCAGCGCCCACAGACGTGCCAGCTTCGTGGTCGTGGTGGCGGGGGCGGCCTCGGCGATGTCCTCCGCTTCATATTCGGTCTTGCACCACACCTTCCGCCGCCTTTGTCAAACTCCTTGTAAGTGGCCTCTAGTTCCGCCTGCCTCGGATCTCGTAGGCGGAGCGGTAGGACTCGAGCAGCGCCACCTATGTCCGCATCCGGCGTTGAGCCGCTCCTCCGAAATTTTCTCGTCTCATATCTGAATGCAAATAGACTACTATCCTAAGTGTATATGACAGGACCTAAGAGCTGTTTGTTCGTTCAACTCTTGCTTACCTTAGCTCTGGCTCAATTTGAAAGATAAATTACCTACTAACAAAGAATGCTGCCCCTGTTTTTTTTTTTTTTGCAAACATAAAAACAAAGCAAGCCTCACATTCTGCCGAAACAAATTTTGACAGAAGCCTAAAAGCTATCTTCCTAAAGTAATAATGAACCAAATTTGTCAGAGAGATCAACAAAGGCATTTCATATTCTATACAAAAGCCAAACAACAGAACTAAAATACTTAATAACCGAGACAAACTGCTTCCTGGACACAAGAAATCAAATCCTCCGACGACGGTGCACGGTGATGCTTCAAAGCCTCTGACGACGATCGGACCCTGGTGGAACTGGAACGTGGGTTTGTTGTGATTACAGACAAGATGCTACGAAGGCTCCGGCGACGAACAGATACAATGGTGGACGAGTCGGTGGTGCCCAGGACACCGGCAATGGTTGCAAATGTGCAAGCTAGGGGTTGGAGGTGTGCGACACCGGGGCTACAGAGGATAGAGGGCCACGCTTGGGCACCGGCATCCCCACCAATTGTTTTTTTTTCTCCACATGCGCGCCAGTTGCAAACTGGGGGAATGAGCAACAGTGACAGTTGATTGCATCTGAAGGGGATGGCTAGGATAGCGACCGGTCTGGGCTGGCGCCAGTCTAACACTGCCCTAATTAAAATCGTGTTCTTGACTTCATGTAAGTGTACAATTTTTTTACAATTTTCATATAATTTTAGGAAGTGTCTCGTATTTTTTTTAAGTTTGTCATATTATATCAAACTAAAAAACAAGAAAGACCGGAAAACACAAAAAGACAGAAAATAGGAAGCTGAACAAGAGAAACACGGACTAGAAAGTAAATAAATCAGATGATTTGAGTGAGGATTGGATGGTGAAGGCAAGATGGCGAGTGAGCAATGGCGAGGCGGCAAACAGGGAGTCCGTATATAAAATTAAAGCCTTTAAATAAATGCGCTTAACAATTAACAAGGCACTGCCTAGAGAAAACAAATAATTAACATCGTTGATGGTTTGGGGTAGCTATTTTGCGTCAAACTTTGTCATATTCTTTTCAATCAGCTAGTCATTGTCTAATTCAGTTCATAAATTGTACTGCCTCATGAAAAAACATGGAGACTGACCTTAAAAACTAAAGAGTACTACACCACCAACCTCTAGCGTGCACAATGATTTCTCATGTATACCACACCTACCTCGACTTGAATGAGCAAGGTTCTATTCTCTTATATACCACCTTATCTTCAATAGAATAGCTTGCCTTACCCTATTTTAACATGTTGCATCAAATAGGTGGTAGCCACATAAACATTATAGAGAGTGTGTTAGAGAAGAAAAGAAAACATATGAGAAAACATAGGAATGTGAGACATCAGGAGCGGTTGTTGAACGAGATATCTCGGAGCCAGACCAAGTAGGTTGGATTCTTCACGTAGCAAGGATACTCATGGCTGATGTTTGGCCGGTGGCGCAAGTAGTCTGTTCAGCTCTTGCATGCTCAGGAATCCAGCCCATATGAACCTCCTGACTTTACCTTGCGATAGATAATATGGGTGTCTGAGGCGTCTGACAAAGTCTGGAGCAGTCCAACAATAGGTTAAACCTCTACCAGTGGACGCTCTAGGACACAACCATATGTCCGCGATCTACTTCCTACCATGAAGACCGGCTCCATTTTCTTGTAGGCTGCTCGACTGTGCGCTGTCTAGTGCATGCTCAACAACCAAGATCAGGATGTTCCAACCGGCGGGGAGCACAAAACTAGGAGCAATCGTCCGGGATGCTGCAACAGCCAGGGCGTGCAGGGTCCAACCAGTTGAGATGCTTCAACCACGGGAACAGCCGCCGCAACTGCGCGCAGGAGCGATGATGATCAATGAGTCCGCGACGAACGGTGGCGCGACCGTGGCCAGAATTCTGTTTTTTTTTTGAGGCAATGGCCGGAATTCTGTAGCCGGTGCGGGTGGGTGCTAACATTTCTATAGGAAATTTTGTTCAGGCATACATTTCTATAGGATGGGCCACATCTATCATCTGCTGGATTCTGTCCCGTTGGGGCCGTGGGCCTTGTAACCCGAGCCAGTCCTTTCCTCTCAGTTTAGGAGGGTGGCTGTATTAGTAACCGAGAGAGGTGCAGACAGAGAACTTGTATGAACCTTTTCCCCATTTCCAAGTCTGTTCTCTTCTCCAATCCTAAATTCCCTCTTGAATCCCTAGTTCTCCTACCCTATTTGGTCGAGATCGTAACAATTGGTATCTGGAGCGATGTTTCATTCATTGGGACCGGCTGGCGCCGAGGAACAAAACGCAGACGGAGGCCAAGTTGCAGCAAGCCATTGGGGAGGTCGCGGAGGGGATGCAAGCTATCACGGAGATGATGAAACAACTACTCACAGGGTTCTCCGATCTGAAGAAGGGGGTGACCGACCTCCAGACGCAGCAGTTGGAGACGAGCACAGAGATTGGTGAGATCTGGGAGCCGGCCCTCACGACTGCCAAGAAAGTCGATGAGATCATCGCCCAGACATGCCACAGGCTTCGTCGTCATTAGCATTTCGACTCCCACAAGGTACCCGGCAAATCGGCACCGCACAACCACCGCTCAACAGGTTAGATAATCTCCAGGACCTAGTGAAGTCGTCTCACTGAAGATGGCGCACTCCTCGGCGTGATACGCTTCACCAACAAAGAAAAACAAATAATTATCATCATTGATGGTTTGGGGTAGCTATTTTGTGTCAAACTTTGTCTCATTCTTTACAATCAGCTCGTAAATGGCTAATTCAGTTCATAAGTTGTACCTCATGAAAATACTTGGAGAATAACCCCAAAAAAGTAAAGAGTACTACACCACCAACCTCTAGGGTGCACAATAATTTTCTTATACTCCTCCGTTTCTTTTTTGTTTGCATATAAAATTTGGTCAAAGTCAAAGTTTGTAAAATTCAACCAGCTTTGTAGGATAAGATATCAACATTCACACTATGAAATCAATATTATTAGATGGACGATGAAATAAATTTTCATAACATACATCAACCTTGCTGCCCCTTCGATGACGTATGAGTAATTGACCACAAACCTATGGGTCCATAGCTAGTAGCTAGATGGTTTCTTCTCTCTCTTTGATCTTTAATACAATGTTCTGCCCGATGTTCTTGGAGATCTATTCGATGTAATTTCTTTTGCGGTGCATTTGTTGAGATCCGATGAATTGTGGATTTATGATCAGATTATCTATAAATATTATTTGAGTCTTCTCTGAACTCTTTTATGCATGATTAAGATAGCTTTCTATTTCTCTTCGATCTATTGATTTGGTTTGGCCAACTAGATTAGATTATATGACTACGGATGATGAGTTGTTATATCATTATGATAATGATGAGTTGTTATATCATTGGATGAACTAAACACATATTAGATTAAAAATGATGTCCAGTAATAAAACATTATGGTGACATGCATGTTATATTTTATTTTATTTTATTTTTCTTTTCATAATCTTATATTTGATAATTAACGTTTAGATGAAATGGGGGTTCATAACCATATAAAACGTGACACCATTGCTGTCGTGTTGTATTGCTTGTCAACCTACTCATTGCCATCGGTATGACGCAACCTTCTGTAACCAAGACCAGTCGTCAATGTCGCGCCATCTTATGGAAGACTAAACTATTCTTCTTTGCCATCCTGAATATAAATAGACATAATAACATTGAATGGATACCATCCTCCTAGAGTAGTTATAATAGCATTAAATGGATACCGTCTTAAAGATAGAACCATATTTTTATAAATAAAGGACAATGATTACGGAGTATAATAGCATCATTATAGATATAATTAACTAAATGGACACCATCGTCGTAGATACAAGTAGATACAATTTAAATATACTGCCCACCCAACTATGTGGTCATATATATAGATAGATATGAAAACATTAAATGGATACCATCTGAAATTAAGGACAATGATATGGCCTGATTTTTGGTATATTTGAGTGAACCAAGACTAAATGTTCTTTAGCTACAAATCTATAAGAAAACATCATGTACATTTGCACGCCCAAACAGAAATGAGAACCAAAGGTTTGAGCCTCACCTTATGGAGGGGAAAACTATTCTTCTTTGCTTTATGGTGCTTGTTCTGCTAGGACATTCAACTCATGCTTGTAAGAAATCAATCTCCATGTCCCTACATATGTGTCTCCTATCCCTCCAAGCAGAATAGAAACTGCACAAGTTTCTTAGTTTGGATTTCTCTTACTGATGTATGTTCTTCTCCACAGGGAATTGCCATACCGAGAGTGCTTACTCACATCCGTTGATTTGTCTAGGTACTACCTGCCATTCAAAATGCGTGAAGAAGTGGGGAAAGCTCTTCAATCATTCTTCTTGTAAAGTTCGAGGATTTTTCAAAGTGTCATGTGAATGTGTTGTCTGTGATCTATGACTATATCTAGTTGGACTTTGCCATCATGTAAAACAATGAAAAATGATGCCCAGTAATAAAACATTATGGTGACACACATGTGATATTCTATTTGATATTATTTTTCTGTTCATAATCTTATATTTTATGATTAATTATTGCATGGAATGGAGGTTGATAACCATATAAAATACGAATGAACCGAGTCTATTGCACGGTTAGTCCTTGTCGTGGAGCGGGTGGCGCGGAGGTGTGGGCGCAACTTGGCAATTGTCCTAGTTTTTAATTCTCTTCAGCAAAATAGGAGCCTTAAGGCATGTATGACACGTTCAGTCACAGGACTCAAGCTCCTACTCACCGCACCAACACTACGCAACTGCCACATTAAGTGGCCAAGCCCACCACCATTGCCATCGTGTTGCATTGCTCATCGACCTACTCGCTGCCTTCGGTATGACACAACCTTCTGTAACCAGGACCAGCCATCAATATCGCGCCATCTTGCTACTCATCCCCTTTTCCTAGGCCACCACATCCGTCAGGTTGTTGCCCTGGCCATCTCTGAAGTCTGAATGTTTCGTTCTCTCCGCGCCAATGAACACTAATTACCTTCAAGTGTAAGGGATAACTTTTGCACATTTTAGTTGGAAATATAAGTATTTAGCGCGAACCCCATATGAGTAAATAGATAGGCTTCTTGTTACCTCAAGTTAAGTATGTCACTTACAGAACACTCTATGCACTTGTACTATAACCCAGTAAAGGTAAGCGGTGAGAGCAGAAATGTCATCCACTAAGTTTGACAGTACAAAATGTAATTCCTAGTTGAAATTCATCTCACACATCACACTAAGTTTGTGAGTGTTGTCATCAAACCAAGAAGCCCCTAGCGGTGGAAGTAACACCATCCGTAGAGCTGCAAACAACACCATTCGAGTTCTCAAACACATGGGTTGTAAACTTTTTCATGTACGTTGTATCCTCCTCGCAAAGTATCAAGATGAATCAACTGATTAAGAAGTTACTCCTAAAAATGATAATGGAGTAC